TTTTTTTTTTTTTTTTTTTCCAACGCGGCGCGGAACTTGCATCCCGAGAGATTAAAGGGAGAACTTTGGAATATTGTTTGCATTATTTTATTTCAGAATCGGAAGGAAGGGGATGAAGTTTACAATATAATATGAAGAACGTAGCATTTTATTTGTATGTCTCTACGAGAAATCGTTTAAATCTCTGGACATGTAGATTTACAAACTTTCTGTGGAAATAGGCATTTTTTGAGTGAAACATATATTAGTATATTCTGACTAATACAAGCACTATTAAAGAGACTGTTGGAAGAAGAAATATTAATTTTTTAATACTATTAATAGTGTTAATTTATTATTTACTATGCAGTATTAATATTATTAATTTAATATTCAACTTGGTTTGTCCATTTCGCAAGTAATCGGTTTCTATTTCCATAAATACTTTAGAACAATTGAAACAAAATGAATATTATCGGCAGAAAAATTCAGATTATCTAGACGATGCAAACAAATGAAAAATGAACTTTATTTTCCAAAAATTGAACATCTCGCCTCATAAGTAAATTTCGCGTGGCAATCAATGTATTAACTGCTGCTTGTTGTTGTAATATTGTTAATAATTGTACAGGATAGATTTTGTGTTTGATCATCGTGAAACAATTATTCAGTACTAATGATTTTTATTCGAGGGCGATGAATAAGGTGTAAGACGGATTTTATTATGTTATTATATAAAATTTATTGTATTTGCAGTTCATCCTCTTTGCCATCGTCGCTGTTGTGGCGGCCTTCCCTGAACCCGAACGAGAACGCCGTGGACTCCTTGCCGCCCCAGCTCTCGCGCTTGCTCGTCCAGCTCTCGCCCCCGCTATCGCCCTCGCCGCCCCCGCCCCCGCACCCATCGCTATCGCCGCCCCAGCGCGTAAGTATCTTCACGAATTATCGAGAACTTGATATCGAGAGTCTTCTGCAACGAACGACGCGGCGATGGAAATTTAAACTATTCTCGCGAATAAATTCATTTCCAATTCTTCAGAATTCCCCAAGAAAACAGTTTCATTTCGATACCGTGTAGTATATCAGTAGTACTGGAAAATTTTCGGTCTTTTCGAAAATACTTTAGGTATTATCACCTTCTACGAAAGTTAGTTGTTTCGGAAACTTGGCTGCTTGAAATGTCGATTATTCATTCTTACGATTGAATCGATTATCGAGTTTTTAGAATCGTCCAAGAAAATAGGAATTGTCAGAAATGTAGAAATTACTTTTGAAAATTTTTTTGATACTGTCTCGATGAACATGTTTCGTTGGTTTTCAAATTCTAGCTAATCTGACTAAAATTAATATACACTTATACTTCAAATATATCTAGAATTTTGTGCACTTTGTTTCAATAAAAGACGGCCGTCATTTTCAGCAATGTTAAAAACTGCCGAATCTCATTCCAGCTGAATATTTCGAATATTTTCAGACAGCTGTGACAGAGCTTTCCATTTAATTTTGTTAATTTATACGCCATCAGCGAATTTGATTTATACAATTCATTGGAAAATAGATTTTCGTGGAGATTTGATTATTCTGCGGGATTTTCGACGTTGCGCGCAAACATCAGAGAAATTGAATGCAAATTTTCTATTCTATTTTTTTCAGCAGCCCTTATAGCCGCTCCTGCTCTTGCTGCCGCGCCGTGGGGATTGAAAGCATGGTAAATCATTATATTTAGTATCCCGGCGTAACTGGACCTGAAGTATTATACTATACACCAACGATGGGAAAATTTTTATTTCTCGTCGTGAAAAATTCAAATTCGGCGATTGGTCAATGTCCCCTTTCGGCTGTAATTCTGATCCATAATTCCCCATAATCGGCATCAGCGAAAATTCACCCCCTCCCTGCTGTAATTTAAATTTTACTTATCAGATAATAAACTTATTTTAAATATTACATGAAATATCATCTATCTGCGTTCTCCCCTCGAAACCGTTCAATCCCTTCAGTAAGATCGTGGACTAAAGATTGTCAGCCATCAAATGGATACAGTCGATCATCGATGTATAGCCTGTTCGTACTTTTCATTTCGGCTGCTTTTGTGACGACTCAATCAAATTATTACAAATTATCATAAAATATCTCCTTAACCATTAAATGTGGCTTAATATTTTTTTATTTGGAATTTAATATTCTTTTGATTTATAATGAAAAAGGTATATGGTCCAATTAAAAAAAAAAAAAAAAATAAAGATGACCTTGGAAATTTCGAAACTTACAAAAGATCGATACATTTTGCCGTATTTCTCTTAAAACCATACAATTTTTATATTAAACAATTTTCCACTAGACGCGTAATTTAAAAGTTATTTCGTGTGTGCAAGTTATGTGAATTACCCAGGATACTTTCGTACACGGCATTCTAAATGTCTAAACTAAAAAAAAAAGAAAGAAATTTACAGCGAAATTTAAAAAGTAGTAAATTTTCATCTAAAGTCCAACAGTGATCTTCCTTCCATCCAGTACCAAAATACTATTCTTGTTAATAATCCAAATCCGAGCTCTATATCAAACAAATTAACTGTCTAATTAGATTAGATTAGTAAAGTGCAACAAATTGGAAATAGAATTATATTGCAACATACCGGTGACGTAATTGCTCGTAAACAATTTAATTAAAATATGTATCGTCGGGGAAATTCACAGCGATGCAAAATGTCTGGCATTATTTTGACCCTTCGATTCATGCATTAATTATCGTGGTTATGCAGTCCGCGCGTTAATAACGCATTCAACGTGTAAACATACGAGTGGTACGATTAATCAGTTAATTACAAATGTATGCCATTAACGCAACAGTTGGGGCGCTGGGCCAAAGAATCGATTTAATAATTATCCCGGGTCAAAAGTAATTGAAATGCGATAATTAAACGCGTTTCCACGTTGTAATACAATGCACGGTCTGCCGCCGCGTCTCTCTATAATGTACGATTCTGTGATTTTCGTTTTAATATCTGTAATTTACGTTTCGCTCGTCTAGACTTTGTGTCAAGAGATAACAAAGGTCGTCTAATTATTTTCAATTGAAACACTTGACACGTGTCGCTCAATTTGACAGCGTTGCTGTTCAGGATTAACTCGATTATCCCCAGTTCTGATCTCGGATTTCTACTTGTTCGACAAATACTTTGTAGTACGAGATGAAGTTTTGAAAAATTTACAGAGAAAATCGTCGAAGATATTTTTCTGTCATCACGAGAAAAGATTCAATCACGATTAGATTAGAAAATAATCTGATTATAATACGATTATATCTATAAATCTGTTCAAATCTAATTACCACCTTGATAATATATCGATATTATAATTAACTATAATCCTTCGAAATTTAATTTGTGTTTTGATATTGGAAATATTTATTCAGTTGCTTAGTAAATTAGTAATAAATTCAATTTCCTATTTGTATTTGATTTTTATTTTCCGTTTTAGAAGAAATTGTAAATTCTTTACGAAATGTGTGGTTGACATTATAAATTTCATTAAATTCTGCCCGTAATATCGGCGCGTGTTAGCAACAGAGTTGTCAATTTTTCAAAAACATCAATTGCCACATCGTTACGATTCAATTCAACTTTAACTGAAAATGCATTTACTCGCCATTTAATAAATAAACTCGTCAGCCGATAATTTATTGCAATATTGTATACGAAATTTAAGGAAATTGCTCCAGCTTATTTAAATTTCGTAATATTATAAAACCATTCTAAAATTTCGAATATAATAGTATCTTATGTAGTTCAATAAAATAAAAATCAATTACAAATGAAACATCGCGTTAACGCAATTTTCGTCCTGAAATATAGATTAAGGTGCCATTTTCAGAAACTCGGACAATCCATTCGTCCGTAATTTGCAGTCACTTTCACGCAGTTTGCAATCCAACTTATAACGGAGGAAAGTTATTTGCACCTTAAATAAAACAGTTTTCAAGTTGCAGGCGGTGTTGGCTCGCGGGCCAGCCAAGTCGCGGCGGATTCATTATTTCACGTGTCCTTTCATTGGCAACGGCCACGGTCGAAGGAACGACGATAACGCGTTTAACAATCCAATTAGAAACTGGGTCCTCGGAGGACGACCAGTGCTTGGTAACTTTTATCACCGGCCAAGTAGTATTTAAACTTCAATTAAACGAGTTGTTGTTTCGCTTCGGCTACTGGGGGATTAAGGTGTATTCGGGATTGAACATATTCCAGAAACAGACTACCGTACAATGGAGCTTCGTTTATTACTTATTACTTAAAAAAGCGTATCGAGGGTGCAACGAGTTACAAAGCGGGATAAATCGCGATAAAATCGTGTGGAAACTCGGCCGCTGTGACGCTTCTTTCTCTTTTTTTTTTTTTTTGGATGAGATAAGAGAAAAAAGATTGTCATTTTCGGGATGTGTTTCCTGGTCGAAACGACGTTGAGCTTTGATCGAAGTCCCACGGATGGAGATTGATGTGTGGCCGCTTGCAGATTCACGAGAGAGATCGTTCGAGTTGTCTTTTACTTTTGAGACGGAGTCCAGGGGTTACCGTTGATTGACTTTCTACCCGAGGTGTGCTGGCGCCAACACAGTTCCCGCAGGACCAGAGATCACCGCGGCACCTAATACCAAAGAGAAAAAAGATTTGATACTCGTTTGAGACTTCCTGTAACATACAATGCTATTAAATTTTAATTTCTATACTTGGTTACTTTGATTTATATGATTATTAAATTTTAAGGTTCATTTTAAGTTTCCACTTTTATGCACATTCTTCTGCTGTATTTTATTATTGAATGATTTGTGTCACTTTGATATCGAAACTATTTCGTTATTTAACTTTATTATCAAATATAGAGCCTTCGAGAGAAATGATTTATTTTACCTTCCTATTCTTATTCTTATACGACTTTGCAATTAAACTTTAGTTTATGTATAGAGAAGTCTATGTACGTTCATCCGTCGAATTTCAAATGTTCAAAATATTTAAAAAATAGCTTTGGACATTTTATGAATCCTAATTAATTTGTTAATTGAAATTATATCATTTCTAAAATATAGATAGTATTTCTTACGTCAAGTATTTCAACAGTGTTTCTTTACACGACAAAACGAATGAGAATTATTCCAATCATAATATTATATAATAATAAGAAGAACGAGTTTCGTGCATTGTAATGTGCTCATGATAATTTCCTAATAAATAAACATAAGAAACATGTTCACTCTTTTTCAGAATCAGTGCCCGTAAATTGCCACAGAGCCTTGTTCTCGTTTAAATACTTGAAATTTGCAGATGTACGTGCACTTTCGCGACTGATTGTACTTAATTCATTCTAATTTATTTAATCTCGATGCAAACTGAAATGTAGCTTCGTTGTTAAAGCCATATTTTAGTATAATTATCTCCAATAAAGTTTGGTAACATACTGCATGCGTAATTCAATACGTTGCTGAATCAAGTTACCGTTAATCTCCATTAGCTATTAGCCAGAATTATCAACCATAAGTTATTTCCAAGTTCCGATAGTCGGGCTGCCATACTTCGTTGGCCGCACAGCTATAATTACCAAACTTTACTTTGCAGGTTCTACGTTTAGAACTAATCGATTGAACTTGTGTCGATTACCGGCAGCCGGTCCCACGACCGCAGCAGAACCAGCAGCGGGCCCAACAACCGCAGCGGGACCAGCGGCAGGCCCAACAACCGCAGCAGCACCAGCGGCTGGTCCAACAACCGCAGCAGGACCAGCCGCTGGTCCCACGACTGTGGCAGCACCTGCAGAGGGTCCAACTACTGCGGTAACACCAGCAGCAGGCCCAACCACAGCCGCTGGTACGGCAGCGGGCCCAAGAACCGCGACTGAAGGAGCAGCTAGAGCCAATCCAGGTAGCGCTCCACCCAACACCACTGCTCCGGGGACTCCCAAGGCTAAAGAGCGGCGTTCACGCTCGGGGCTGGCCGAGGCAACAGCCAAAGCGATTACGAGGACGACCTGTAAGTTCGCCGATGAAGATTTAAGCAAGGTTATCCATGAAACGAATTTTTGTGAAATATTTTGGGGATATTTCAATGGTGATAATTCTTAGTAATATAGAAGGGAAGTGGTTTAAGAATAGGGTAGATGTTGAAATATTGTGCGAGGAGACAAGAGATAAAAGTAGTGGCTAGAGGGAAGAAAAAAAGATTTGGTGTGAAATAATTTACAGATAATTTGATCATTTGTGACAGTTTATAGATTTTGGAAAGAATTTGTAAGTTTTCGAAAGAATTTGTGAAATATTCTAGGGATATAGTAATGTTGTAATAATTCAATGATTTCAGTTAGATAGAGATAAAGAAATGAATAATAATTTGATATTCTTATAATCTTTAATTTTGAAAGACTGTCTGTCAAGTAACAGCCGTAATCCTTTGCATCCATCACGTGTTTAACATACAACTGACTTAACTTGACTTGCTGGATAGATTATTTTTGTATGCAGATTAATTAGACAAAATTGGTCTCGAAATTTCACTGAATTTGTCAAGGACTTTAAATTATATAAACAAGATTTTAGGATCTATATTGAATCTTAAATTTAAATTACGACAAGAAGAAGATCTTGTATTATAATACTCTAGGAGAGTAGACTTCTTTCGATAAAATAGTAACTGTTGTTTTATCAAAAGAATGTGATACTAAAAGTGACATGACGATACTTCGAGACGACTAACGAATTTGAAGATACAAAGAATTAATCAAAGAATCAAATGTTTGATTCAAGTGTTGGAGAACTTCTAAGAAAAATATGCATCTCACTAAAAAGTCTAACATAAGTAACATGATTTGATATTTCTTGATACTTCAAGAATGTGCAACTATTATTTAACTCATCATAGAATTAAAATATAATGCAAATAGCTAATCAAATTAGATTAAATTTCATCTTAATTTCTAGTGCAATCATTAAATGAATCTAGTAGACAGTATACCTCATCAAAGAAAAAATCTAATTGATTTGATGCTTCTAGGATACTTCAAGGCAAGTAACTATTGTTTTACAACATGATTACATAGAAAAAAATTTACAAAGAATAATCGATTATGTTTTATCTAAGCTTCTTCTTATACGAGCAATCAAATGCTTCGATAAGAAGGATAAGTGTCTCACCAAAAAAAGAATGAAATGATTCAATGTCACAACACAGGCGACTACTGTTCGATCGCAAGATCACACAGATAAAATGCGATACAAACGATTAAATTTTATCTGAACTTCTTAGGCAAGCGACCGAAAGCTTCCAGCAAGAAAATATATATCTCACCAAGTATTTCATGTTGATTGTCGTATCTGTCTTCAGCTGACTGGTGACTGATGCTCAACCCTCGTGACACATCGCCTTATATACGTGAATCGTCCACGATTCTGGAGGTCGCTGATGCAACTTTCAACCCCGCATGAAAGTGAGAATAATAAACGAGACAGGGTGCGGTCACCGACTACCGGGATTGTTCCGAGAGTTCCGGGTCCAACGTCACACGGACGAGTGCCGTTATCACACGGAGACGTGTTTCAGCCTTCGAAACGTGTACGCGCTGCCTGTTACCAGAATAACGGTTCGTTGGAATAGCATTTTCCCATATGGTCGGCAACGCACGACGCACGGTGGCCAATTTTAGCGATTCACGTAGGTGAGCAATATTTATTTGCTCACTGCTATTTTCATTTGATATGTATTGCAAATCCAAAGTTTCGATAAACAATGCATTGAAATAACAAAAATAAGAAAAGAAAAGAAAAGAAAATAATGGCACGAGATGTACTGACGACATGAAGCAATGAATATTAACGCTGGAACTAGCAGAATGGTCAAAATGACCAATTCGTAAATTTTCTAGATTGACAACGGTGCGTTTTAAGAGATTTCAATGATTTTTCATAAAATAAATGAACAAAAGTTTTAAAATATCTTTATCATATATTACGCGCAACGGAAACAAGTTTCATTTCTGTGATACGAATTTTGTATTTTAATCATTAATTCCAGTACTAGAAAAAAACACTAGACTTTTCATTATTAAAATTATTACTAAAATATTACATATTACTGGTACTTTTTCTATCATCCAGTGAAAATAAATAACATTTATTATCGTTGAAAATTTACATTATTTCGTATTTTATATTTTGATTATTTATTTTATTTTAGTTTACTTTACGAATTCAAAAGATTTTGGACTTTTTTTGCAAAAATTGATATTTTTACTCGTTTTGATCACTTGAATTCTTAAAACAAAATGGCCACTGTCTCGCGGATCATTTAGTTTCAAACTCTCTCTCTGGTCGCGAAATTCACCGTGTGTTTCAGCTACTTTGATAAAAGTTAATAACTACCGCGCGCAGGTGTAATTGTTATTCATTCCTCTTCCAAATTATTCGTACTCTACGGAACAACTCGATCGACGATGTTTTTCGCGGTGATGTTAATGGATCCTCGCACATACGATATCAAGAGTCGTGTTTGTGTTTGCGAGTTGCGAAATTTCAACGAGCTGGACAATTGTTTAGCAAACTGGGAAAGGATACGATGTAATAATTAGTCCATTAGTGCTTTGGGCGTAATGTGGCTACTTTCATATTCATATCTTCAACGCATTATAATCAGAGTTTCGTTTACTTGCAGAACAAGCAGATTATCGGTTAATATCTGTAGCTATTTATTTCAGTTTCAAAATCTGGAAACTAATACTTGTCACGAATAAGATATTTATTAGATTGGTAAAATACAGTGAAAAAGTAATAAGCAGAAAAAATAAATTGTAGTCATAAACAACTTTCAAGTTGAAGAATATTATAAGATGTCAATAATTATTAAATTCATTCACTGTAGAACGGTTCAGTGTTACATGTCATAACTATTCCGTAGTTAATTTGATTAAAATTTGTATCATTTAGTAGTGTTGCGAATAATTTCATAGTATAAAATAAAATTTAATAAAAAGTCGCTTCATTAGAAAATGACAATGTGTGCAAATTACATTTTATGGCGATGATCTTAAGACTACAGCCAATCATTTTGAAGAGCCATTTTTTACATAAAATTAGAATTAAATTTTTACATGAAATAAAATAAAATTTTACATAAAATTAATTTAACATTTCAATAAATACCGCGATAAGTAATATACTATTGTAATTACAAATTAATAATATGTTGTAATAACCATTGTAATTACAAATATTGTACTTTTTACAAGTATGCTCTCAATGCTACGATAAATAATATCACAATTACTACAGTACCACAAACGATCCATTGTCATTCTAATGTAATTACATACATTCATAAAATAAATACATTCATAAAAACATTCGTTAACCAGTGTAAGACGGTGAATTGTACACCACACGTGGCGATCGTGCCGCGTTTCTCTTTTTTCCATCGCAACGACAGCTAGCAACTCCGTGTACAAAGCCTAATACACGCTTACGGGCAAAGGGAAAACGAGACCGAGGGAATCAATTTGTGAAATCAATTTCCAGCTACAAATTCAGGGCGACGCGGGCGGGAAAACGAGTCGATTGTTCGCAAAGAATCCCGCGCGCGGTAAAGAATAAACGAGCGTCGATAACACGCGAATAAAACAAACGGAGGGGTGGTTGGTCGTTTCGCACGCCCGCCCTTTTATTTCGTGTCGAGCCGAGGCAGTTTTTTCCACCCCTCGTCCTCCCTCGATGGTCACCGATGGTAATCCGTCCTTTGAATCCAGCACGCTGGATGCCACCGATGTGAAACGGTTGTAATTGCGCGTGTCAGATTTGTCAAGTTGGAAATCGCGGTGGCTCGCCAGCCTTTGCTCGGTCGAATTTATAGCCGGTGGCCACGTTTCCGCGAAACGTTGCACTTGCCGCGAACTTGCGAAGAGTTCCGCCGTTGATGGAATAATTCGGCAAAGTTCGAGGAAGAGGACGCGCAGTTGCTTCCTCTGTTTAGATGGAAATTTCGGAGGACGGAAGCAGTGGCGTCCACTTGACGTTGGTTACGTATGCAATTCGAAGAATCACTGGCTGTTACGACGATTTATGCCGATTTGTTGCATTAATAATAATTGTTTACTTGGGGGTATTTTAAGCTCGAGAAAAGAAATACGGCTTTCTTTTAAAGAGCATGTGATTTTGGCACATGTAATCAAACAAGCGAATCCATAGAGTGAATACGTTTATATTTATTGATAAAAGTTGTCTCTTTTTTTTCGATATTCTTACGAAAATTCCTATAGCTTTAATATCCTTGGAGCATGTTAAAATCTAATATAATATAATATAAACATATCGAAAGATAAAGTTCTTAATTTATTACATGCTTCTTATTCGGTATTAAACTTTTGTATCGTAGTTTCAGTGAAGAATTCGATATTCTATTAAAATCATACCAAGTGATTTATAATTACTTATAATTCAAATTCAAAATTGAAACAAACCGTTGCAATTAATATACAAGGGAACGAAATTCTGGCAACAAACTTCCATCAATTCCACCTGTATCGCTTAAATCGGTCACCGTGCGATCCATCCACTTGCCGGTTCTACTCGCGATTGGCTCATTTACCTGACCTTTCAATCATACGTCGACCTGCGAAGATAGAATTCACGCCTGGCGACGGATTTTCACCTAGTTCCATGGTCACCAGTCGGATTCCCAGAGGATCTACGGGAAAATTGCGACCGCACGAAAACATACATTGAAAAGTTGAAGTCTTTGTGACGAGTCGGCGAGGACCAGGTTCCTTTTCAAGAATATTCCATTCGATTTGCAGACGTCATCTCGGCGAAACGGTCCTTTTGGCCCCTGTTGTCAAAGGTTATCGATTATCGGGAAATTTCTGGCCTCTGTTTGCGTGACGCTGCATCTCGTCCCTTTTTCATCGACCGATCGTCTCGCTCGGCTCCTTTTGTGAAAGGATACGCGATTATTAGTGGAGAAAACGTGGAATTCCGATTAATATTTCTGGGAACGGGAGTAGGTCGAGCGAAAATAGTCGAACAGATCGGCATCATCGGCGGCGGATTTATTGATGAGGCGCCTTCATTTCAATTCGATACTGAATTCGTCTGGATTCTTCTTCGCGTTTTCAGCGGGAACGATGAATCTTTTAAATTGTCCCCAGCTATTTAAAGCACCGCGAGCCATCGTTTCTAATGGAGATTGAGTACAATATGCGCAGCGTGTATAATTGAATCAGTTGGAGTCAAGAATAATAGCTGAGAGTCTAAAAATCACGTTTTGAGATATTTGAAAGGAATAGTTTTAATTCTTTTGTTTGGCCAAGAAAAAATAACTATAGTTTTCTTGCATCATTAATGCCATTGATTTTATATTGTATTATATTATATTTATTTTATTTTATTGTTCCAATATTAATAATCAAGATGAACTAGTAGTAATATCTGTGGCTGAACCTCGCTGTTAAATCTTTAACAATTAAAATTGGACTTGTATTGTCTTTGAAATGAAGTTAAGATTTGATCGAGATATGTCTCGTTAACTTGTTTTAAATTAAAAATAAATATAAATAACTATTAACATGTTGAGACTATAATTTAACGCTTGTTTGAAAAATTATTTGTTAACGTGCTTGAAATGAAAGGTGAAATTCTTGATAGAAGGTCGATTTTGAATTTCCTTTTCATATATTAAGAAGGATAAATTACTAAAGACTAATTTGTAAATGATAAGTAATTTTTATTTGGTTCCCTTCCTCATTATCTTCAATGTTGCACTATTTAATCTATTAATAAAATCATCAGATTACAATTTGTTCGTAGAAACGAACGAAGTTCGTCTCCATTATGAGCATAGAATACATTCTCTCGTATCAACGTCGTATCTTCTCACATTAACATTCCAGTTCCGGGCTGCGTGTTGTTCTTCATAGCCGCTAATTTAATTGACTATGTATTTATCATTAACCGTGACAGAGAGACGGAATTTACAACTCGAATTCAAACGATTCATTCACGGCCGTTCCCCATTTCATCAGCGGATAAACGCTGAACCCCAGTTCAACCGAATTTCAATTTCATTATCACCGTGTGATTCAATCCCCTCTGTGCACGGTCAATATCGTGTCTTTCTAAATTAATTGACTCGTTTCAAACTAGTTTCCGGATACGAGTCATATTTTTCTTCCTGGCTCGGCGAACGGTTTGTTAACGATAACCGTGTGACCATAATTAGCCGACGAAAGCAATTAACATTATTAACATTAACAGCGAACGAACTCGGGACTCGGTGCACGGGTGAAACGTGTGTGTTAACGCGCGAACGGAGAATTA